GTGACCTTTGACCCAGTGACCTTTGACCTTTGACCCCGTGAACTGTGACCTTTGACCCTGTGACCTTAGACCTCTTGCATTGTTTGACCCCATGACCGTTGACCCTGCTACCTTTGACCCAGTGGCCTTTGACCTTACGCCCTTTGACCCCGTGACCTTTGACCTCGTGACCTTTGACCCTGTGACCTTTGAACCTGTGACCTGCGAGCTTTGACCTTTGACCCCGTGACCTTTGACCTTATGCCCTTTGACCCTGTGACCTTTGACCCTTGACCCCCGTGACCTTTGACCCCCGTGACTGGTGACCTTTGACCTCTAACCCTGCAACCTTTGACCCGTGAGCTGTGACCTTGACCCTGTGACCTTTGACCTCATGACCTTTGACCTCACAACCTTTGATCCCATGACCTTTAAACTTCGACATCATGACCTGTGACCGTTGACCCGTGACCTTTCATCTTTGACCCAGTGACCTGTGACCTTTGACCCCGAGACCTTTGACCCGTGACCCTTGACCTTTGAGCTCATGACCTTTGACCCCGTGACCTTTGAGCTCATGACCTTTGACCCCATGACCTGCGACCTTTGACCTCATGACCTTTGACCCTGTGTCCCTTGTCCTTTTAGCTTGTGACTCTTGACCATCGACCTTTAACCCCCGTGACCTTCGACCTTTGACCCCTTGACCCTGTGACCTTTGAATCCTCGCCCCGTGACCTTTGACCCCACAACCTTTGACCTTTGACCCCGTGACCTTTGATCTTTGACTCCGTGACCTTTGGTCTTTGACCCGTGACCTTTGACCAGAATTTCAGGTAAGAACTAGAATAGCTAAAGTCACATTAATTTTTTGCCAGAAAATTGAAACAAAACATTCCTTTTCATGCAAAAAGTTGAGATATTTTTTATTGGGTTTTTTTTTTTTTTATTGTATTTTTAAAACCTTTAACTTGATTCTTGGAGAGGATGTGTATACGCTTGTGTGTGTATGAGTGCAAGTAAAACAAATAAAATGCCTGGTTATAGTACTTTGTCATGTGTTACTTCTCCATTATCACAGCAAAAGAAAAATTGCCGTGTTTTCTGCTTTGGAAACTGCAGGGGTAACTTTCTTGCGTGTAGTAAATAAACAGGTATTCAAACCACTAACTTCCTCCTGATGGTTTTCTGTCTTTCAATACGGAAAGTACAATGTTTCCATGCACTTGTGAGTTTGTGGAAGCTCTTGGAGGGTGTTGTTTAGTAGTAGGAGTCCCTCTACAGCTGTTTGGGTGGCATTTTGAAATGAACAGCTTAAAGAGATGTTTGCATTAAAGCTAAACTTTAGGCAAAAAGTATTATTGATCCTCTTTTCTGAGCGAGGAGGATCTCTTTTGGCTACTTAAGCAACTGAGCAGGAAGAGTGCAGTAATCTGTCACTCACTCCTACRCCCTGTGAGGAGAAAGATAAGCTGTGAAGGTTGTTTCCTTTTTCAGTAGCAGGTCCATCCTGGCAAGACAGACGGCAAAACCAGCAGAAGGCAAACAGTTTTGTTGTGCCAGCAGTGGGGTTGGAGCACGCTGGTTTGTGACCCCTGATCCCCCACCTGCTGGGCTGGGAAGGGGGCTGGCAGCCAGGCAGATCAATACTCTGCACCTTTTCAGGAGGGTTACATGTAGCCAGGTTTGTTTGATATTCTGACTCCATTTTATGAGAGTGGGCGTCCAAATCCTGTCTGAGTGTTGGCAGCAAAGCAGTGGCAGTGTCTGGTTTGGATACCTGCAGCCTGGCAAAGCAGGGGCTGGTGGCTGAGAGGAACTTGGGTGGGTGGCAGGTACCAGCTGCTGTGGTGTGCTCAGTGCTGCTGGGCTTGGAGAAGGAGCTTTGCCTCTAGGAACCACTGCTCAGAGCTGCCTTAGGGCAGAGGGCAAGCGGGAGTTACACAAATGCTGCTTAACTTGGAGTACACCCAGCAGAAAATCCAGCTGGGATGGCTGTCATATGGGCAGCATCACTGGTGCTTCCCTGTTTTACCAGGGATAGATTTCATGTCCTCCATAGTTCCCTTGCATTTCCTGCTGCAAGCTCGGTCACAAATTTATCTCTACTTGCAGAAATCCCAGTAACTGAGGGAATCCTCCCTCCCTGAAAGTAGCCACAGCCCCCAGCAGTGCAGGGAGAAAAACACCTTGGAGATGGATGAGATTTTTCAAGGGCAGAAGAAAGCGAGTGGGGCCAGTATGAACCACGCACTAACAGTTTATAAATCTGCTTTAAATTCTTTTACCATTTTTTTCTACTGTAAACACATGGAAGAGTCTGGAATCAGGTGAAGTTATGTCCAGGATGTTTAACAAAGGGAAATGAGAAGGTGATTTCCTGAAGTAGCTCACATAGAGAGGAAATTCTGCAGGTTATTAATTAATGCCAGGTAAGAATATATAGTTCAAATTTGCAATCCATGAAGCATAATAATTTCTGACACCCAACTCCATTTTTCTAGAAATACTATTTATAAAGTACAAAACTGTAAAGCCTTTTTTTCTATCAGCAGCTTCATTAAAAATACCATTTTATACCGACAGCTTTCTGTCATCATTACAAAGACCAGAAGACGTGTTTAATAGAAGYTTTCCTTTACCAAGCAGCCTTTGCTTMGTATCAGCTGTCAGAGAATGACTAAAACCCTTTTGTAACATAGACATGCYCAATTTTAAACAAACTCACAGCTCAGCAATGCAAGACAACACACTTGCTGTTTCTGAGGAGAGGAATTATTTTAAACCAGTTTCCTTATTCCTCCCTAGACCCAACTGCTGTTGACTGAAGCATKTTGTACCAGAAATGCTAAACAGTCACCATCACTTAAGGATATAAAGCTATGTTTTGTTGTTGCAGCTATAAACATAATGGAGTGGGTTTTTGCTGTTTTATTTTTGTTTTGGTAGGGTTTTTTTTGTGGCGGTTTGTTTCTTTTGAGGGTTTTTTAAAATTAATTCTAAAACTAACTCTGCCCAGGATCAGTTTGGGTGCACAAACACACTGTGATTATGGTGATATCACCGGTTTCTGTTTTGGACAGCTGCTGGCAGTCTAGTGCCTTGTTTTTCTGGAAATGTGTGCTTCCAGAGGCTCTTTGATCCCTGSCACAGGTATATTGCTGAGCTCACACAGCCAGGGTGAGGTCCAGCCCCCCTGAGTATCCTGGTACARTATCTGCAGTGTCTGGAGACTGTACCACCAACTGTTACTGAGAAAGAACAAATGGCTCGGGGCTCTTTCTGTATTACTGGAAAGTTGGCAGCCTTTTCTTGTGTCTTCTCTAGCTGTCTGTCTCAGCCTGCATGTAGAACAAGGGTTGATGCACTTCCAGAAATCTGACTTCAGATGCAAAAATAATTTCTCTGTTCCCCTGTACTACAAGCTGACAGGTGAAAACACATAACACTTCCCAACCAGGAGACTGCAGAAYAGTTGAAAGACTTTTAGCAAAGASTYAAGTGARTTTASTTGCACAAATACTGTCCATGTTCARCTTGGATGCAGCTGGGMAAGGCTCTTGCTTCATTTGCCAAGCCTGTAAAATGGGGTGCACAGCTGCAGCCAATGTAGAACTGGGGTTTTTTTGAGTGGAGTCAGGATTTGAAAGGATGCTGGTGGAGAGGAACCTCAGTGCATCCCAGTCATACCAGTTTGATGCCAGTGCCAGCAACAGATGCACAGAGCTTGGAGAGGGGTCACAGATCAGCAGGAGAGCACCCGAAGCGCAACACAAAGGAATTCCAGCCACTCCAGCCCAACTTGAATGGCTCTGTGCAAGCACTGGCAGCATGCAGAATGAAAAAAAGAGGTTAGAAATGTGCAGTCCTGCAGGTCTGTGATCTCACTGGCATCACACAGCCGTGGTGGGAGGGCTCCTGTGGAAGGATACAGGCTTTGGGGGAAGAACAGGTAGCAGAGAAAGGAAGGAGGTGTCACGCTCTGTGCAGTGCATGGAGCTCCACCTGGGGACTGAAAGCTCACAAGTCAGGATTAAAGGGAAGGACAGGATTAAAGGGGGCCAAGGAAACTCGTTAATATTCAAAAATCACTTCCTCCAAGGTCAGGAATCGTGCATCCCAATAAAAGGGAAGTGAGGCAAAAATACCTGGAGACCTGCATGGATGAATGAGGAGCTCCTGAACAAACTCAAACACTGAAAACAGTGTCAAGGGCAACAAAAAAAAAAAAGCTTCTGTAGGTATTTCAGTGATAAAAGGAAGACTAGGGAAAATATGGGCCCTCTCTAGAAGGACACAGGAGCTCWGGTTACCCAGAACATGAAGAAGGCTGAGGTACTCCATGACTTCTGCCTTGGTCTTCATTGCTAAGAGTTCCAGCCACACTGCCCAAGCTRCAGAGGCAGGGACTGGGAAGAAGAGTTTATACAAAATCATGTGTGAGAAAGGGACAAGCTCAATTTAGGCTTGGAGTATTTTGTCAAAAATGAAGCACACCACAACCTTGTAATTCATATAAGGAAGACAAAGAAGCCTTTGACAGATGACTTCAGATACAAAAAGCTTCCTGCTCATTCAGGTAGATGGGAGGCTTTTAGGCAAGGCCCATCCAGCTTTTTGCCAACTGTGTATATAAGCTGTACAGACAATCASCCTCCAGCACACTGTTTTTAAGAGGGGAAAAATTATGGATAATGTGTAGAAATGAAGGTAAATACAGCATGTTGCTTTTTCAAATAAGTGACAATCACTCCAAGAGCAATTCATATAATCAGTGTGTTTGTAACAGGGCACTTCTGTTTGGGCCAGAGATGCTCCATGGAAAAGGGAACAGTTCCAAGACTGCCTGATTAGTACTTCACCACCACTACCTATACAGTTCTGTTTAAAAAAGAAAAAAAAAATCATATGAAAAAGAAAGAGACACTCTTTGAGGAGCAAGATGCAGTGATTTGATCAGTGTTCAGGCAGCATGTGGGAAGAAGGCAGCAAAAGATGCTTGCTGGAGAGAAACTCGGGCCCTAGGCAGGCATCAGTGAGCAGATGGCTCCTTCCAGAAATCCTTGCAGTGAAGCTGAGCAGTCAGGCTCTTCCTCCTGCTGCTGCAACACTTCTCTGTGCACACCACCAAGAGAGATGCTGYACCTAAGGAGATCTCAGGCAGACTGGGTCGAGCAGGCAGAATGTCAGGACTTGCAAAGAACCAAAGATGTTTCCTTATTTTTATAGTGCGGCAAGAATCTTTGTTACATACAAAAAAATTAAAGGAAAAAATGTAAGAATATATTTTTAAAAAGGATTTTGAGATTCTGCCAATCTCTTCTCATGGTGCTGTTGTTGAGTTTAACCCCAGCCAGCAGCTCAGSCCCTCAGAGCTGCTCATTCACTCCCCCACAGAGGAATCAGAGAGAGAATTGGAAGAATGAGAAAACTGATGGATTGAGATAAAGACAATTTAATAGGTAAAGMAAAAGCCACACACTRAACAAGGAATTCATTCACCATTTCCCATGTACAGGCAGGTGTTCCACCATCCCAGGAGGGCAGAGCTCCAGCAGGCATAACAGTGACCTGAGAAGGCAAATGCCATCATTTCAAATGTCGTCCCCCTTCCATCTTCTCCCCCGAGGTTTCCATGCTGAGCAKGGTGCCATATGGAATGGAATGTCCCTGTGSTCACTGGGGTCAGCTGTYCCAGCTGTGTYCCCTCCCTGTGTGGTGGGTGAGGGCTTTGCAGAGGAGTAGAACAGAGGGAATGTGAGCAGGGGGAGCTGTGGCTGTTCTGCTGCAGTCAGACTATTCCTTCCTGAAGGGAGCGAGGCACTGGGGACAAAACCTATCACAGGGTCACATTAGGAGTCAAGGCACCTGCTGGGGCTGAGGATCCAGGATCCCACTCCTTTGCAYTGGCTCTACTGCTTGCTCTTGATTTCCTGGATTCAAGGAGTGAGACAGGGATGGTGCCAGCTGCAATGCTTGGAAAGGAAAGGCCTCCCCRTGAAGCAGATGTTGTACCAACACCTTCTGATTACCCTTAAATTTCCTCCAGTCCTCCCACTTGCTTTAAATTCATCTCTTCTTCGTCTCCACCTTTCCAACAGCAGCCAGCAAAATGGCTGTCACCTCTTTTCTTTGGTCTTAGCTGCTGGAACTTTACTGGAAAGCCAGGGAACTCTTCATTCTTCTCCTTCTTCTGTCACATCAATGCAGTGTGCCAAGTGCAAATTGTTAATCTAAGTGTATTTAAAAACACTTCAGAGCATGAGGGAGGTGCAAGTCCTTCTGCTTCACAGACCCAGGGAGAGATTAAACATTGTGCAGGAACCTCAGCTTTGATTGTTAGTGGAGTTCATGATAAAATCCAATGCACTGAGTCCCAGGTCTTCTGCCATAACTGTGGTGCCTGTGGGGCTCTCTCTGGAGAAGGGACTCACAAGTGCATGAGAAGGATATGTTAAATTAATTGAAATTAAAATCTATTGTAAAGTGTGGAAACTGAGCATGAGGAAAGCATTCTCAAAGGTAAGTGAAAATAATGGTTATGTAGAAAAGCAAGTGAAAGTTGGATGCTTCTTTACAGATGCTATTCACAGCMATTTGAAAACCTCCAAAAAAGACTGTGGAGCCCATTTTAAAAAGTGATTGGAGTTTATCCCACAGGAGGGCACTAGCCATCAGTGGGACTTAGGCTTGGAGTTTTGAAAAATAATTATACCCAGTGAGTCACTAACAAAGGACCTCATCCCAGAAGGCTTCAGGATTGTGCTTTTCCTTTTAGCGAGRTTCCAGCATAATGTAGACTCCATTTTTTGGTCCAAGCGTGGCTTTTGATTTAAGCTGCAAAGGAATCTGTAAGAAAAAAGATCATCTTATGTACAGCTGTGCATGTTTGTTTATGTGTGTACAACACCCCACACACAAACAGACATTTTTGCTGGGGGACCAGTTCATACCAGGATTACTGTGGAAGCTGTAAAGTACTTGTTTTACAGTCAGCTGTGGTGGTRTAATATTAAATAGAATTTACAGCCAGAGGCTTGAGGCAGTGGTTGCCCAGGTATGCTGTAGATCTGAACAGAAAGAAATTAACTCTCAAGACTCCAGAGCTGCTGAGTAAGTGCTGGGTGCAATGTCCATAGCAACAGGGATACACCAAAGTGCTGAGATCCCCTGAAACCTGGACACATGTTCTCACCCTCTTTGAATCGTGATATTGTGCCTGTGGTCTTGCCATGCTGCCCTCCACTAAGGCAGGGACCTGTAACAGCTTCCTTTGTTAGAAAAATTCTCTCTCTTAAATCACATTTTGCTTAAAACATGCAATCCAAACCTCTTGTCCCTCCTTGGTATGGAAGCATCTGAAGCAGATTTCTCAAGCTAAAAGAGGGCACCAAGGCAGACCAGTTGTCCTGTCTAAGACATGCTGKGAACTCCCTCAAGTTAACAAGTGTGATCTGTGAGCCTCTGCATGTACAAACCTCAGTCTCTGGGCAGGTCTTGAACCGGAACTTCTGCAAAATCCTCAGCAGAGTCATTTTTGTCTCCAACAAACCCATCTTCATGCCAATGCAGCCACGGGGTCCTGCCCCAAAGGGCAGRTATGCAAAGGGATGTCGTTCCTTCTTGGCCTCCTCTGTAAACCTAGAAGGTGCAGAGAGATGGAAACCAGTTCAAGAAATGCCTTTTGGTCTTGATTCCATGCTTTTTGTTTCAATCTCAAAAGCTGGTTGTTTCAATTGGTCTTAATGGACAGGTCAAGGGGATTGTTGACAGATTATGTCCTGACATCTTAAGTAAACAGATAATTGACTCATGGCCATCAGCCTTTGTCAGATGGTGATTTCAGGAGAGGCCATGGAGACATCAGTATTACTTCCAATCTGTCTTTAAAGATTTGCCCTCATTTGAGGACCATGCTCAGGTGCAGACACACTGGCTCTGTGGCCCTCTGCTCACACCAGGGAGAAATTACAATTAATGGGCTGAATTGACTACAATTAGCAGCACTAATTTTTTAGCACCACTTTTCCCATTCTGTGCATGGAATACAGGTTCCATTCTTCATGTGTGGGGTTATTTCATAAAATCTCTCATCTCTTTGGATTCTGTTTCCAAGACCTTTAGACTGCTAAGGCCTAAAGAACTCATGCAGGGTAGAAAGAGATGAGAGGCAATACAGCCTATTTTGAGCTCTGGAAAAAAAAAAAATATTGGGTATTTCCACTAATTCCATCCCCATGCTTAGATAACCTAAATAAGATGGAGCCACTACTCCAAAAAGAACCACAGAGGCCCAAATCTGAGACTGAACTCATGTACCATGCTGCATATACTACTGTTACATACACAGCTGCATATCCCATGCAATTCTTGCAGGTAATGCAATTCTTGCCTTGCTCACCCCCATATATCATCCTGGTAAATTTAAAGTCTCCCTTGTTTTACTCCTATAGCCAATTTCAAAATAAAATATTGGGGGCAAAGGCTGTAGCTGAATTTTTTTTTGTTTGTTTTGCTTTCATTTTATAACGCTTACTAACACTAGCAACTGATACAAGCTGAGGAGAATGTTAGTAATTATACATCATTCCTCAGGGAAGGTTCAAAAGGGAATTAATCTCAGATTCATAACAAACAGCACTGTGTGAGTCAAGGGGATGGCAGCCCCCATTAACTACTTCACCCTTTCATACCACTATTAAAGGGGTGAACAAACAATTAAAAAAAACACTTCTAGATATAAGCATTCCTTAAAATACCCACCCCAGACTTCCAGCTACAGCTAAGATTCCTCTCCAGCAAAATCTCTGAGCTTCTCTAACCCTGGCATTGCTGTCCCTCATGACCAAAGGAGTCTGATGGAGCAGATGCCCAGATTTGTTCCAGAAGGAGCATTAGACAAACCCACYCACACCACAGTTGTTTGTGGAGCAGGCACTTTTTTTCTCAGCAAACTTTTCCGTGTAGTGGCAGCTTAAAATGCATCTGCCCACAAAACAGCTTCAAAATATAGCTCACAAAATTAAATTGTGCTTCCACATCAGCTGGAACTCTCCCTGGAAGCTCAGCTCAGCACCTGTAACACAGGGCACGTACAAAAACACAGCTTGACAGGGGTCCCCCCATCCACTGAGGAGAATAAATGCTCCTTGTGAAAATGTCTGGCCAAGCAAGAACCAAGGATCCTGATTTACAGACAGAGAGCAAATTCCCAGTGGGACACAGGGTGGGTTCCCCACTCACAGCGTACCCACTGTTATGAGATTTCAGGTGAAAAGGGTGCTCTGAACCTGCCTGGAGCTGGATGAGTTTCCCAGGTACATCCAAGACAAAAATATCCAATCCCACTTCTGAATTTCTGCACCCAGAAGGGGCAATATTCACAGTGTCTGATATGGAAACAGATCTGAAAACCTGTGCCACAGTTCAACCTTGACCAAAACTCACACCTTCGATGGGATACACAATTGTGTAATTTAACAGAAATAATGTGGTTTTATGGTCTAAATAAAACTGTGCTCCTTTTGGTGGAAATTCTGCTTTGGATGAGTAGTGGGTGGCTGTGGCTGTGAAAGAGCAGCAGAATTTGCTGTCTGCACTGCACAGGCTGGAGTTCTGTGCCCAGGGAAGGATTTCAACCTAAGAGTGAAAAGCTTTACTCCACGTACCTCTCAGGAATGAACCTCTCGGGCTCTGGCCAGAACTCAGGGTCGTGGTGAAGGTGTCCAACTGCAGTTTCAATGACAGMTCCTGCTGGAATATGCTGCCCCAGCACTACACAGTCTTTAGCTGCTTCCCTAGTGAATCTGCAACAATGTCATGCATCCCAGATGATTAACAAAGGTTAAAAACACAGCAGGAGAGATCTATGAAAGGATCTGTCTTTGACCATATAATTTCTGGGGTGACATTTTCTCACGGATAAATACAACAACTGTTGTTGATGCCAGTGTCTTCTCAGGTTATAACCATCTCCACCTAGAAGTCCATAGCTTCAGCCCAGTTGGCTGATTTATGCCCTTTTCACAGGAAACCATTTCTGGTTGTGCACTGTTTTCCAAAGCACCAACTGCTAAACTGCATCTTTACTGTTGATGTTGGGTTTCAACTCATTTTTTATGAAAATTGCTGATGAAATGTGTCAGTCATCTCTAAAAACGGTTAGATATGCTGGTTTGTTTCCAGGAAAAAAATAGGATAGCAAATGTAGCTTGGAGTTTGTTTATGTGAGAAGCTACCCCCTGTTGGTGCAGCACCTGCAACTGAGCAAGGGATGGTTTTAATATTGGGGCTGAGTATTCTGCTGATGCAGAAATTCAACCAATTCACAAGCCTTGGAAAATCACATTCTACATACAACATGATGTAACAACAGGGGCGAGACAGTGTGCAGGAACTKCCTTTGCTGCTTTCCACACTCTGCTTAAAAAGTTGAACAAAGAATTCAGCTTCAGGGCTGTCAGTCTGGTATCGTTACAGAAACACATTCTTTCCTCACTGTCACCCATCTCTCTTTCTCATAGACAAATAAATAACWGAGGCTCCAAATCTGGAACAAAACACTGGCATGCAAAAAAAAATTGCATTGACAAGCTATCCTTCTCATTCTTACATGAATTTGGTGATAATGGAAAAATGAGTTCTGAGGAGAGAAAGTTCTCTGGATAGTAAGTTAGTTAAAAATAAAATAAAACCAACTCATTTTTTATCAAACTTGGCTGCTACTGATTTTTCCCCTACCTCAGCATTATCCTCATCATAGACAATTAACATCTTTCAGCAGCTCTGGGCTGTCCTATCCACCCCACATCCATCAGAGTAAAAGCCAGATCAATAAACAACACTGACAATGCCAGACAAAACTTCAGAACAACTTTGCTCTGTTCTCATTCTGTCTCCCTGAYAAACAGTGACTGTTTCCCAGTGACACAACCCAAACTCAAAGATCCCTGACACTTTAACCAGCAAAACAGTTTCCACTGGTACCCCATGTACAACAGCAAAGCCCCATCATCTCTTCCAGGAGCAGATCTCTTTGATATTTCCTCTCTGAATAATCCTGCAGGTGCCCATGAAAAAAAAATCTTGACTTCCAATCTTGGTGAACATGTAGAAGAGAATAGGATTTTACACTTTTAAAAAAAATTTAAGGTGCTTGCGATCATGGGTTACATTTTTCAAAAGCTTTCACAGCAAGATCAGATTTGCCTTCTTTCCAGGCATCTGATTTTTACCCTGAGCTTCACAAGAAGCATTGCAACTGTCTGATCACTTTGAAAGATTCTATTTCTTAATAGTTGTATTTATGCTTGTGATGATTTAGAGCTGTAACAAACACACCATTTTCTAATTTCTTTTTGCCTTGTTTTCAGTTCATCAGCATGGTACAATTAGTCTTGTGGGAATTGGGACAAAACTTCCAAAAGTTAATGGATGTTACCATTAGTGTAGCTTTGTCAGTGTAATGCAGTGCTAAGTGTAAATGGGCCAAAGTTGAACACACGTGTAAAATACAGATTTCTGAATGTGCAACCCTTCCCCAGTTCAGGGCCTGAAGAGCCAGCAGGGTAGGGATGGATTTTGGGTTTTTTGGTGCATATCCCCAAAGCCTGAGGCACACGGAGGCAGCAGCCTCTGGCTTTCTAAGGCCAGACCTGCTTCAAAATGGCTCCATCCTCTATCCTTGGGGKATGTGAAGAATGGTGAGGAAGCAACCTCGGCCAATTTACTGTAAAAATGGGCTTTAGGAACRCCAGAATCAGCCAGCTCTCCTTCAACAGGCTGCATTATATCTTTCAAATGCACAAAGCACTATTGATGTTGGCACAGAGACTAAGAGACCATTGGTCTTCCAACAGCAGATTGCCATTTTATAGAGCCAGGGAGCAATCCTGTGCAATCAGAAGGGAGGAAAAAAAAAAAAAAAAAAGATACCTGAATGCAGGTGGGTACATGCGCAACGTCTCTGCAATCACCATGTCCAGATAAGGGAGTTCTTGGACATTTTGGGAATCAGGGACCATCTGAAAGGGCAAGRACGAAAGGAACAATTACATTTTCTCACATTTAAGTGCCAAACTCATCCCAGATTAGCTTTCAAATCATCTATTTTTTACTGGGCATCTTTCCTGTGGAAGAACTCGATGTCTCATCTAAAACAGTAAATGATAAAATTATACAAAAATGTGGGCAGTAATTAAATGTGTGTACAACATTCCTTTCATCATCAAAATGCTTTGGTGCACAGCCCAACTGAAGATATAATAATAAATCAACTTGCTAGGAAGTATGAAAAGCAGGTCATTGCAGAGAACATTGATAGCTACAACAGAGCCATTGTTTTACACATGCACCAAAATCTGTGCAGGACCCTTGTTTCTTCCCAAGGGCAAGGGCACTGCTCACACTTTGTTCACGAGAAAGAGCAAGTCCTTCAGTTACTTTTGTTAATGTAGGAACAGCCCCTCTTTGTTGCACTTTCTCAGCTCTAGAAATAAAAATGCTGCTGTGSAGGGGTGGAGATGGCACTGGAAGATGCTGGCACCCCATGAGGAACAGCACGAGTGCTAAATTGCTGTGCCAAGCAGRGAGGTGCTGGGGTACAGCCCAAATCCCACCTGGCAGGACTGAAACGGCGCCTGGGCAGAGAAATTTGTTTCCTCCAGCCCTTGTTCGATGCTGCTTAATTTTTCATGGTGGTCAATGCCTTAGCCCACRTTTTCACAATCCCAACAAAGCCATCCAGCCCTTGGTGGGCACTAAAACCCTAAATGGGGCTATAGCTCAGACGTCTGTGCCCTCTGGCAACAAACAAACAATGAGAGACCCCAAACAGCAGCAGTGACACGACTCAGCCCGTGGACAACCAGAGAATTTCTTCCACCGTTACCTTCCTTGGAAAAAAGCACATCTTCCCTGTTTTATTCCGTGCTCTCAGCAGAGGGCAGCCAAAGAACATCGAATAACCTCATCGGGAAAGTGGAGTTTTGTTTTAAATTAGAGCATCTCCTAAAGACCGACACAGAGTAAATCGGAGAAAAGCACAGACGTCAGACTAGACTAAACCTTTTATGAAGGTTTGGGGCCCCTGCCGTTCATAAAGGGGACTGGATTCCATCYTCCCTTTATTTACTACAGCACTTTTCATGTATAATGCATATTTTATTGAATTTTCATGCAAAAACATATGGTACACACTGAAAATACTAAGCAGAGAACAACTCCAGATGGCATGCAGAAAAGGCGTACAATGGAACAAGGATACCTTGCTGGATTAGGGTATCCCACTTATTCAGCACTAAGCCACCATGCACCATTTCACATTAACTGATCTCTTCTAGGGAGGAAATAGATACATTCTATTATCCCCATTTTTTTTTGGCTCAGGAAAGAAAAGCAGAAAGCAGAGAAAGTAATTTGCACAGGCTGAGTGGAACCAGCGCGTGCGCTCCTCTCCCCGGGGGAAAAGATGCAACTCAGCTTGTCAATAGATGAAGTATTTTGTCAGTCTATGACAAATATTATCAATACAGGCAGTGTGGGCTGCACTGACAGGCTTTCAGGGTGGTTTTTAGATTGCAGTGGTGCCTGCTAACACAAACCTTTGGCTCAGGTCAGTGGTTATCAGACAAAGGGCTGGGAGCCCAAAAGCCACGTGAGAGCCATGGCTGAAGGCTGGGTGAGGAACAGTGCTCCTATAATTTCAACAGCTAAAATCAAAGCTGGGAGAATGGTTTTATCACCCTGGTCTTGCAGGGCTGCCTAATTTTGTGTGGGAAATAGGTAGCAGAGGCTGCAAATGCAATCTTGAATTTCAGGTCTTCATGGCACAACTCCCTTTTGGCCACAGAGGTGCTCAATGCAAATGCTTGCTGTGGTGTGCATCCTTTTATTTTTTCTGCTAATTTTACAACTGTCTTTCAGAACTTCCCCCTGTCCTTTTTATACTGCTCTCCTGCATCTCTCTGAATCCTGAGTCAGCATCTGAGTCCTGCTCCTGCAATCCCTCCTGATTTCATGGCCAGGCTGGCTGAGAGAAGAGCCCAGGCTCAGAGAAAATGAATGGTGGAGCCAAGAGCACGCCGAGATGTGTTTGATTCTCTGAACCATGCTCTTTCCACTGGGCCTTCCTGTCTCTCTCATAATCCCTCTACTTACTTCTGGAGTCAATAATTAAGATAATTATATGGTAACCTGATATAATAAGTAGCCACTACATCAAACCACACATCAACGAATAATATAACACTAAATTATCGGAGCTTTGATTTGCTCTTTCAAATAGCTTCTATACCTTTAGGGGATTAGCAGTTCAGAAAACAAAATAAAGGTGTAAACCCAGCTGATTTTCCTTAGAAGAAAATTCCTTTTGCTTACATAAAGAAGGAGGGGTCGGTCAAATGGCAGCAGAGTGAACTCTGCTATCATGAGCACGACAGACACATCAGTCATTTCCTACATCTGATGCAACTTAATTATTGGCACTTCCATGCTTTTAGCATCAAAGTAGCTACACCTAATTTAGTAGTTGTTTGCAAGGGCTGACCTACAGCTGTGTAAAGTACACACAAGCCAAGCATCTCTATTTAGGAAGGACAGTTTGTTGCTTTTTTTTTTCCTTTTCAAAGAAAATATTTTCCATTTGTTTTTCCACTCCCTCTCTTAAAAATATGCCTTTAGCCAAGCACATTTCAAAAGAACGTAAATATGATTTTCTCCCTAAATGTCCCTATTTATATCTATCAACTGCTGGCAAATTTGCTGGGGTGAGGGTGGTGTTGTGCAAACATGCCACTTTAACCCCGGGAAAAAAAATTGTCTAAATTGCCTTGTGCTCAAGATGAGGTTTTTTTTTTTTTTTTTTT